CATGACATACCGTCGCAACTGGCTGCCTCAGCCGAGACCGAGTCATTGTCTCTGTTTAAGCTCACTTTAGACCAAAAAAAAATACAATAAATAAAGAGTTTAGTATTTTACAATTTGATAAGTAATTTAAATTATATTAAATTATAAAATATTAATAATTAAATGAAAGAACTGGTAATCTTGAATTTATTGCCATGGGCATGCAAAAGATGAATTCTCCTTGAGTAGATTTGACTTAGCTGATGGAAATCTGGAAACTTGTGTGTAGGTGAAAGGAAAGCTTGTTAAGGTGGGCATCGTTGGTTTTTTTAATGTATGCTTAAGTTAGTAGTATTCTAATGGAGGGTGAAGGAGGGGAGGAGGAGAGAAAATGGAAGAAATGATGTAAAAGATAAAGAGAAAATCACCTTTGAGTTGAGAAAAAAGACCCCTTTTATAGTGGTGAGGTCGGTTAGGTAGGATATTAAAAAATAGAAACCTGTTTAATTTATATAGCTATTGGAATTTAAATTGTGGAAATGTATGATAGCAGATATAACTACTAATAGAAAGGTACTATATGACAAGAAAACAAAGGATCACCTTGCGTAGGCCTCCCCCCCCCCCCACCCCCCTTTTTTTTTGGGGTTTTGATCACTAAGTCCTATGTCTTAGATAAGCAATTCATTTGTTAAATATCACCTAGGTTTTATTCTAGATAACTTAGTCATCCAGATCTTATGTGCTTCTTTCTGAGAGTTAAGATTTAATTCAACTCAATCTATTTTCTTTTTAGAAGCATTCTTAGTCATACTTGAGGTGACATCAAATCCTTTTTAGGTATGACCTAAGTTCACATGGAGCAATTAAGTCATGTCACGTGTAGGAATATTTTATTTAATATCACGAATTATTTATAATTTAATGATTAATATTTTATAATATGATATAATTTAAATTGTACAATTTTTTTTTTCCTTTTTGATAATAGCATATACGGCAAAGAAGCAGAAAACAGACCGCCACTTACCACCAAATTCTATATGAATGGATTAGATTATTTTATGGCAGAAAACAGACTTTACCAAAGACATAATATCATATACCTTACCTTAGGAAGAAAACACCAAAGAAATGGAGCATAGCACCCGTGCAACCAGAACCTGCTTCCACTAACCCCGCATCTTCCCTCAGAACAAGGCAACAGGCTGCCACTTACTGCAAAAAGGTGGTGAATTTCTCGGACTGCAAGCATAAAAAAACGAAAATGTTTTCACCGATGCCTGTACTCCATCTATGATTTTCAAACTTTATCCTCCCCTTAATTTTTCTCCAAAACTTTTTATTTATAAATGTTTTAATCGAAAATTTTGTCTTTGGATATATAGATTGGTCTAGCCAAGTGATTACAGGGTCTCTTCTTCTCTAAATTTCTTATCATTTGTGTCCAAGTTTGAATATAAGCAATGCCGAAGTTGAAATGCAAAGTTCTAATTATTAAAAGGGTTTTTTAAATATGTAATTATAGTGCCTTTTAGTCATTAAATTATATAAAAAAATAAAAATTAATTTTAATTTAATTTAATTTAATTAATTAAAATAATATTCATGATATTAGTATTAACATTAATATTAATTTTTTTATTT